AAAAAAAAAAGGTAATTTTGAACAAATGAAATACTTAGGTGACTTATTGAATGGTAAAACACACTATCTTAAAAGTTATGGCGGTTATAATATGACAGTTAATACAACTAAATTATCATTAATAATAAAATACTTTGATAGCCATCCCTTGAAAACCCAAAAATCTATTGTTTACTTTAATTGAAATAAAATGTTTAAATTAGTAAAGGCTAAAAAACATTTAACTGATGAAGGTTTAATTACAATTAAAAAATATAATAAAAATCTTAATAGATTAGACAAAATTATATAATATAAACTAAGATATAGTCCGAACAGTTATGTAAATAACTGAGTATTTTTAGTTAATATATACTAAAAATCCAGAAATTTGCCTACACCAGTTTCTGCATTAATACATGCCGCCACAATGGTAACAGCGGGTGTGTATTTACTTATGCGTACAAGTCCCTTAATAGAATACAGCTCAACTGTTTTAATACTATGTTTATGATTAGGAGCAATTACTACTGTATTTAGTAGTCTTATTGGTTTATTCCAACAAGATATTAAAAAAGTCATCGCCTACTCCACTATGAGTCAAATGGCTCGAGAATGTATTAATATTATTAGTATGTTCAGGCATCAAACTATATGCGAGTCTACTTTTCTAAGGTTTTCTGTGCAGTGGCCATACTTTGTAAGCCAAAGCAAGAAAAATGGTTGAATAACTACTCATCCGAAATTAAAGATGTATTCCACCCTAAATTATATATCTGAGGGTTTATCTGCAGATAATCATATATTAAATCCTTATTATGTAACAGGATTTACAGATGAAGGCAGTTTTTTAATAAATATACATAAAAGGTCAGACCTAATATTAGGTTATAGTGTCAGCCTATCTTTTAAGATAAAATTACATTTAAAAGATAAAGAATTATTAGAAAACATATCTAACTTTTTTAATGTAGGTAAAATTTATCTAAGAAAAGATGGGTATGTTGACTACATTGTAAATTCAATGAAAGATCTATACTTCGTAAGAAGAGAAGTTATTATTAATCATTTTAATGATTATCCATTAATTACACAAAAATTCTCTGATTATAAATTATTTAAATTAGTATTTGAATATAAAAAAAGAGAACATTTAGGCTTTACTTACTTACTTACGTACGTACGTAAAGCCAAAAATATAATTGCTTCTTTAAGGCCTCAAACTATTACACCTGAATTGGAAACTATAGATCCACATTGAGTATCTGGTTTTGTAGATGGTGACGGATGTTTTTACATATCATTAACTAATAATTCAACTGGCGTAGGCTTAGTATTTAAAATTACACAACATACTAGAGATACTGATTTATTAAAAGAATTTGTGAATTTTTTTAACTGTGGACGTTACAGTTTAAGTTCACCAGAGGCGGGTGATTTTATGGTTACTAAATTTGAAGATATTTATACTAAAATTATACCTTTTTTTAATAAATATACTTTAAAGGGTTCTAAGTCATTAGATTTTTATGCTTTTAATCGTGCTCTATACTTCGTAAGAAGAGAGTTAATAATAAATAAAGCTCATCTTACTTCAGAAGGGTTTGAATCAATTAAACCAATTAAATTAGGCACGCTTTATTTCGGACGAAGTACCGCCGCTTTTATTTCGGACGAAGTACAGCCGCTTTTATTTCGGACGAAGTACAGCCGCTTTTATTTCGGACGAAGTACAGCCCACGCTTTTATTTCGGACGAAGTACAGCAGACAAATAAAAAAAGAATAACTAAATCTATAATTACTAATGTACAAAAAAGAACATATGTAACAACAAAAATTTGTAACAAGACCACATCACATGATTTTAATGAATGATTATCTGGACTAATAGATGGCGATGGTCAATTTTTTGTATCTAAAAAAGGTTATGCTAATTTTAAAATTGTAATGAAAAAGGAAGACACATTAGCACTTAATAGTTTAAAGCAGAAATTTGGTGGATCTATTAAAGAGATATCTTCAGGTTTAAAATATAAATTAGCACATAAAAAAGGGTTAATTAAATTAGTTAATAATGTTAATGGTTTAATTAGAAATCCTTCAAAGATGTTACAATTAGATAAGGTTTGTAAATTATATGGCGTAAAGTTTGAAACATCTAAACCTTTAACTTATTACAACGGATGATTTAGTGGGTTTATGGATGCTGATGGTTCGATATATTATAACGATAAATCAGATCAATTAGTGTTTAGTATAACGCAAAAAAACAAATATTTATTAGATCCTTTATTAATATTATATTCAGGTAGAATTGAAATAATTGATTCTAGACAAGCTTTTCAATATTCTATTTACAGAAAACCCGAAATTTTGTATATTATAGACAACTACTTTAAAAGATATCCTTTAATGTCAAATAAAAGGAAAAAGATTGATCTAATTAAAAAATTATATGAGGTAAATTCAGGATCAGTAGAAAAAATACATTTAATAGAAAAAATAAATTATAAATAAGTTATTATATTTATAATGTTAGAAAAGTAGCGTAGAAGCTATCGGTAAAATACTATAGCCAATTCGCAGATAACCAAAGCTCTTAATTATTTTTATAATAATTATATTAATAATAGCTTTTTTAATTCATTTTTCATTATTTATATAATGCGACATTACTTTATAAATTATATAATGTCAGTACAATGAAAAGCTATTATTTTAAGTTAGTTAGTAGGAATCTCAGAGGCCATACGTTTGATATTAACCCTTAATCTAAATATAAAGGATTTATTTCTAAGGGTTAATAAAGAAATGGTCCAAATTATATGTTTAACGTATATATATAGCATTGTGAATGGATTAAACTTTTTATGTTTCTTAGGGATTCTCGAAATATACCGTTATCATGCCCGGGGGCAGAAGTTCTACATCTGGGTTTTTTCAATATTAATGAATGAATTGATTATGCCCAACAGAAAGGATCCACATTTTTAGAAGATGTTTTACTGGACTTAAGAGAAAAAATTGGGGGTACTTCAGAATCTAAAAAAAAAGCCACAAAAGGATTAGATGAATTAATGCAACAAAAATACAGTAATACAGCTAATCCTCGCGAAAAACACACAAATGAAGAGGGTTCTCTCACTAACTTGGAGATTAATCGGGGAAAAATAGTCGCAGCCGCGAATTTTAAAAATCGATTAGAAAAAGAAGTGCCTTCTAGTCATACAACACCTGAAGATAGTGAAGTTGAGGATAATGAAGTTGAATAAAAATAAATGTATATGTATTAATCAAATAATTCGCAATTAGGGATGATGGTGATAGCAGTAGGATTGTCTTCTTATAATGTAGCTTTATTCCACTTAGTTAATCATGCCTTTTATAAAGCATTATTATTCTTAGGTGCAGGAGCTGTAATTCACGCAGTTGCCGATAATCAAGATTTTAGAAAATATGGTGGTTTAAAAGCATATTTACCTTTAACATATTCTGTTATGTTAATAGCTAGTCTTAGTTTAGTTGCCTTCCCTTTTATGACTGGGTTCTATAGTAAAGATTTTATTTTAGAATCTGCTTACGGACAATTTTACTTTAGTGGTATAGTTGTTTACTTTATAGCCACTATTGGTGCTATGTTTACTACTTTGTATTCAGTTAAAGTTTTATATTTAACTTTCTTAACTAATCCTAATGGGCCTATGATTAATTATTATCATCTAAAATCCCATGTATTGAACTATGATAAAAGAGCCCACGAAGGTAATATATTTATGAGTTTACCTTTAATAATATTAGCTGTATTCTCAATATTCTTTGGTTATATAACTAAAGATATCTTTATAGGGTTAGGTTCAGGTTTCTTTGCGGATAATAGTTTATTTATTCATCCTACACATGAAATAATGTTAGACACTGAATTTGCTGTACCGACTTTATTTAAATTATTACCTCTAGTATTTACTATTTCACTTAGTGTTTTAGCTATAGTTCTATCAGAATTTCTACCTAAAATACTTATTTCTTTTAAATTTACTAGATTAGGTTACAATATATTTGGATTCTTCAATCAACGTTTCTTAATTGAACTTTTCTATAACAAATATGTAACTGGTCTAATTTTAAAATTAGGTGGTCAAACTACTAAGGTTATAGATAAAGGAAGTGTAGAATTATTAGGACCATATGGTTTTTCAAAAAGTTTAATGAATTTAAGTCGAAATATAGCTAGTTTAGATACTAAAGTTATTACAAGTTATGCTTTATATATCTTAATAGCAGTTATTTTTTATTTATTAATGCTTTTTTTAGCCAAAATAGACCATAGTTTATTTTTATTATTAATTGCATTAGCTTTGTATTATTTTAATATATCCGCATCTGGCAGTGCCCACTCCGCATCTCTCACTGCCCACTCCACACTACGTACTCCGCACTCCGCACTGCTGAGTAAATTACAAGCTCAACGGTAGGGCGACCGTTTTACACACGATCGGTTAGGTGTTCAAATCACCTATTCCTTAAATTAAGTATATTTATCTTTCAACTTATTAATTATACATTGTATCCTTGTTCTTCAGTAGGTTAATTATATACCATTGGTATGCAAAAAAAATGCCTTTTTAGGTGGCTCCTCCTTTTGCCTTGCACAGAAGCAATGGTCAGGTCACTTCTTTAAAAAAAAAAAGCCTCCGAAAAATTAACGTATTAATACGTTAAACTCTCATTAGCTTAATGTATTAATACAACTCTTATTAGCTTAATGGTAGAGCCTAAATTGGTATGCAAAAAAAATGCCTTTTTAGGTGGCTCCTCCTTTTGCCTTGCACAGAAGCAATGGTCAGGTCACTTCTTTAAAAAAAAAAGCCTCCGAAAAATTAACGTATTAATACGTTAAACTCTCATTAGCTTAATGTATTAATACAACTCTTATTAGCTTAATGGTAGAGCCTAATACTCCTAATATTTAGATTCAAGTTCAAG